TTGTTGGTGCTGGGGGGGGGGATAGTGGTGGGAGGGGTGCAAGAGAAGCTGTTCTGTAGTGACAGAAACTTGCTCACATTCCACATGCAACATTTCAGGAGATCCTCTTCCAAAAGGCTGAGCATAACTGTCCTTTTACCATAAATTATGTATTCTGGAGGTGGGGAGGTTTCTAATCAGAACAACAGCCTTTGCTTTTCTGTACCTTTATTTCCTACTATGAGATCCTGGTGTGACTTCAGCCAGAGATGCAGCAAAGTTCAAAGCAGGAGTGCATTGAAACACATCCATGTTTGCTGAGCAGGCTCAATACAGCAGAAATGGCGAAGAGTGGTGGGTTTGCTTGTCAGAACCACTGGGACCTCAAGAGATATACCAAAACCACCCCATTTTGTCCCATCTAAGCTGAAGCCCTTCTGAAAATAACACCCTGAATTGCAATAACAGACACAAGCCACTTCCTGTACAAGCAAGAGAACACATGATGCATTGGGGTCAATAACATGGTATGTTTTTAGGGAATAGCGGGTCTAGGGAGTGGTAATGGTTTGTAAATCCTTTTGGTCTTTTTTTTTAAATGGTCTAAAAATAATAAAATCCAACAAGTTTGGTTTTTTTAAACTTACAGTGCTCTGGTTCTTGTCTCTTAAGGAATGCCTGTGTTTGATTTAGGGCTTCCATCAGCTACCCTCCAGCTTGAGCCCAGAGGAGAGTAAAACCATGGAATTAGTTAGTGACAATCCAACATACAAAGAGTTACACTGAAAAAGGGCTTTGAAAACCAAAGCAGAAACTTCTGTTTGAGCACTGGCTGTGTCTAGGAGGATCTCTGGGGGTGGCCCTTGGCTTTAAAACCAGTAAATGGGAGAAGCTGTGGAGGAAATAATACTTGGACGTTGTTATTAAATGGGGCAGTGCCTTGTATGCACACACAGAAACGAGCCAGTGGCAATTCAGATTTAAAAGAGCAAATGGGATCACTTGTTCCTGTTCTATTCCCTTAATTCCATCTTGGACGTGTGTGTGCTCTAGATCACGCACAAACTACTGGGGGCAGAGTCCTGTCACTACACTCCCTTTAATGAAGCATGTTGGTTACGCAGAAATTACACCTTGACCTGCACACCTGAAGATTTATTTACTGCATTTTGCTCTTCTAAAAAATGGGTTTGGAACGATTGTTGCTGCCAACACACAGTTTGATTTCTTAAATGGTACCAGCTGCTTCCTGGACCACAAATGAGCTCAGGTGCTGTCAGTTGGAGCAAGAGGAGGCTCCACACCTCCTGTGCTGCAAATGCTCCTTGTGCCACAGCTTTTCTCTGTGCAGCAGCTGGGGTTCTGCAGGCCACATGTGCTTTTCATCTGCTATGTATTCTCAAAGTGTATGCAAATAACAGTCATTACTGGCTACAGGCAGGGTGTGCTGCACCTCAGTGAGCAGGTGTCAATGTCAAAGGTAAAATAACTCCTCTGAGCACATGGAAACCTGAACAAATGCCTGGTGAGCAGTGTTTGAACATTGACCAGCCCACAAGGGTCATGAGCATCAGGGACCAGCGCAGGAGAGGGACTGGCCTTGTGAGAAACTCAGCACCTTTGCTGTAGTCTTGCAACAACCCTTGCCCAGCCCTGCTGCTTCTCAGGCTGCAGCTGGGACCTGCTGCCCACTTGACACCTCTGATGGAGAACAGCTCATTGGAGCTCCTGATGAGCACACCCACCCACCTGGAGGTGCTCAGCAGGACCTGCTGCCTCCCTGTGAGGTGGATGGAACAGAAAAAGCCCATGAGCATGGTGGGCTCTTGCTGTTGGGCTCTGTGGCGTTAGCTGTCTGCTTCTTCTGGTCCTTGCATGCTCTGTGTGGCAAAAGGGTGTCATCTCTTGGGGCTTCTGCTCCCTCCAGCTGTGGTGAGTGTCCTCTAGCTCCTTGGGGACATGTTGATGGGGGTGCAGGTTGTGATCTGGGTGCTGAGGGTGCTTGTACCACTGGAGACAGTCACTGGGGCCCCCCTGCGTGCCTGAGAGCTGGCAAGCGTTTCACACCCACAGGGACTGACAAGGAAGAGAAGAGGCAAATCCAAAGCATTGCATCATGGTGAGGGAGTTGTTTTCTCTGGTTTGTTTTTCCTCTTCATGATTAAACCAAGCTTTTTCTGAGCCTGCCTCATGTTTTGTGGCCTCTGCCATCCCCACAGCTCTGCTGTGCCATGCCTTCTGCGGGTAAAGTCAAGTAGGCAAAGGTTCCCTTCTGCATTGGGTACTTCTCCAAAATATGCTTTTAACTCACCACAAAAATACACTTTATAAAGGTTATGAAGAAACCTGGGTTAAAAAAATGCTTTTAAAGTTTTTGGGATTTTTTTTATTGCATTGCTGTAATTATTAGATTTTATCACCCAAAAAAACCTTCTGACCTACAAAACTGAACTACAAGAACAGGCTCACAGCATGGAGCAGGCCCCACAGGGGAAATACTGAAAGGGTTTCATGCTCAAATACAAACCAGGCTCTTCATGAGATTGTTCAAAAGCAATTCTACAGGTGAAGTGCTTTGCTCCTTGTAAAATACAGGTGGTTTATGCACCTCAATACCCTCCCAAGCACTCACATGTGTACGCGACTGCAGTCAGTGTCCCGTGAAAGACAAAATTCGGTGTTTGTGCAGCAGCTACACTTTAGGAGGAACAAAATCCCCAAACTTCTTGGGGGTTTAAACAAAACAATCACCTGTGCATCACATGGGAGTTTTGCAAAGATGTGCTTCCAGCAAAATGAGGGCTTCAGCTGTAGAATCTGTGCTTGCAGAAAAGATTATGCCTGTGACAGAAAGAAATAAAACAGATTAATTGAGCTTCTGAGGGATGAAATACCAAAGTAAAGCCGAAGCCTGGCACGAATGGAGACCAGGGCAGCCCATGGTGTGTGGGGAAATGGGAGCTACAACTCACAGTGTCGTGTTGTGCTGGTGTGTGGCAGCTCGGTCTCCAGGTGAAGAGCAGCTTCTGTGCCCACCCTGTCTCGAGGGTCCATGGTGGTGTACTTCTCCCTTTCTTCCTCCCAACTGTTGTGCTAAACTCCAGCTGGGCAGCCCTGGCTTTTCATTTAATAAAAAAGCTATTTTGGGTTATTTTCCCAATTTGTCAAAAGCTGTCCTTTCCAACCCTAACTATTCTAAAAAAACACCAGACTGGCCATCGACCCAGCACCCCTGTACTGACACACCACCACTAAAACTGCACCATCTTTGCTCCTTTGCTTACTTCTCCTTCCACCCCTTCAACTGACAAGTGTTCCCAGCAGCCCCAACTGCTGGAATATTGAGAATACTCCTTATCACTGGCTCTGGATGAGCAGTGGTGCAGACTGTGAGCTTGTGGAGGTGCATAAACTCCATCAAGCGCTGCCACCAGGCGTCTCTCAACCTCCCGCCACCGCCTGCCTGGAGCTGGAGCGCGGGAAACACGCAGTTGTACCCTTGGATGCAAACTGCTCATAATTCTTACTCTGTTTTTTTATAATATCTAGGAAGTGCCAGCCAGCAGCAGCAGTACGTGTTGCAGCACACGCTCTTTATGACTGTGACAGGGCTGTGGATTTAACTCTTCTTGTGCATTGTGTTGTACCAATGCATCAGGTACTGCAAGTGAACTTAATTGCATGCTCCTGTTTGGAACTGAGTAGCAGTTACAGGTTTCTAGCTTCATCTAGATGATGACAAAGAAAAAAGTATTAAAAAGAACATAGAATCTATCTTCTTCCTTTTCTTTTTCCAGCTTTCTAACTAAGAGCTATTGTGAAAAATGCTTCACCTGTGACAAAGGGATCCCACGGAAGAACCCTGTGCGCAGGGGCATTCAGAAAGGTGGTTTACAGACAAGATGCCTCATAATAAAGTGGAGAGAAGCATTTTTCTGGAGTGCAGGCAAAGCTTTAGGCGGTAAATGCCAAGGGGAAGGCCCAGGCTTCCAGCACCGTCTTCATGAAAGCACTTGCTGGATGGTGGTTTGAATCCCTCCACACCATCTTCCAGCAGATGGATCCCATCTGAAGCCACATTCCTGCACAAATGGCAAAAATTCAAACATTAGCGCTAGATTTTATGCATAGGTTGGTCTTGGATAAATGTAACCAAAGAGAGGAGCATAAAACCACTTCTCCACCAGCAAAGGTTGGTCTGGGCATATGTCTCCTACTAAGGAGAAGGGTCAGTCTCTCCCTGCAGCTCCAGCTTGTTTTCCCAGGCAAATGGATGCAATTTCCACTCTACTTTTTGATAACTTGACATGCCCCTGCTCAGTAATCCTGCTAGAGATGATTCAGTTAGTCAATAAGGTGAATTTATAACTGCACTCATTTAATTTTCAGTGTGAATTAAGGTAAATTGAATTAAGATTGTGTTAATTCTAAGAGTGTCTTTGTGTGGTCTTCATGCAGTTTAACTAATCCGCTTCAGTCTGTGCATGTGAATTTATCAGTATATCTTTGAACACT